GGAACTGCAAGACTTAATGTTCCCCTGCTGAATGTTGGACTTGCTTTGGTCCCATTCGTTTATTTCTCCCTGTTTGTACCTCTTGGAATGGTACTGTTCATCTTGTACTATTGAATGTTGGAAATGATTAACTTTCATTTGTACAGGGGCTCACAGCTAGGAGGTTGCCTTACATCTCAGAGGAGACTTATAATTTAAACTTCTCAGCAATGCTGAAACTGTTAGGATTTTGGCAACTCTTAGAGATGGACTAAATGCCATTTGCCTAAAGGTATGTACATGAGTCTTTGAGGGGCCAGGGGAAAAATGTCATGGCTTATGTCTAGATGTCCCCCAAAGCCTCATCTGTGAAGGGATGGGAGTGTAGAGTTTATGATTGATTCACTGTCCAAGGCTGGGGTTGTGGGTGTGCATGCTACACCTGCCCTGTGGCAGAAACTTTGCATTCAATATGAGGGAGGGAAAGAGACTTTCTGTGTTCTGCTCTTCCCTTTTTGCTACTGCTGCTTTTGCTATTTCTCTGCTGCCATGGACTGTTGCCCTCTGTCTTTTGCCACTCTGCCTTGCAGGCAGCTGAATATGCACTGAAACCTCCACAAATGGTGAGCTAAATAAGCCTTTCCATCCTTAATTCTGGGCACCAGATATTTTGTCCCAGCAGTGAGACAAAAGTAACCAACACAATATCTAACTGCAAGAAGCCATACAGGCAAATTCCTCATGCTCAAGTGGCTGATACACTGGTTTTCCAACTCACTTGTGACCATGGCAACCAAGACTGTAAATAGGCTCTGGCTACCATGTGAACTCTAAACATTTCAACACTTACATTAAGGTTTGTCAGTATAGAGGGCCCTTCCTGGTCCTTGTCATGACCCAGGAAGTTTATATTTATAATCCCAGGGAAATATTATTGGAATCCTAGAAAGTTAACTTTAATCTACCACCTCCAGGGCAACCCATTGCAAGAATAAAGACACTAATGCATGTTTGCAATTACAGAGGAACAAGGGGTCCTAAGTCCAGCCCTGATGATGGCTATCTGGAACACAGGCCTCCACCCAGGGTTGAACCCAGGTTTTTTTCAATTCATGAAGAAAGGAGTATGTTGAAGATGACTGACTGTGAGAATGATGGGAAGTAGGTGAGTGTTGTGAGCTAGGCTAAGTAGGAGGCATGAAATCACCTCCGCAATATGCAGAAAGTGTTAATCTACATAACACAAGTGAGATAGAATCTAATGTTTTGGGATTAGTGCTTTAGCTCTGGTGTGTAATCTTTCAAGCCCAGGAAGTCATCTCCTCTCTCTCATGCCTCATCCCTGCTGACAGCACAGAGCACTGGCTCTTCTTCCTACCTCTTCCTGGCTCACACAAGCAAACAATGGGGTGCTAAAGGGAAACACACCTGCCGTCTTCAGAGACTACCATCTTTGCCTTGGCTGGACCAAAATGCATTGCTTAAAGCCAATTGGAAGGATAAGGAGAAGACGTAGTCATCTCTGTACATATCACTACATAAAAATAGGGTGAAGATTAGCCAAAATGGAGACATTTGCTCCTCCTTTAAGGAGTAACTGGTCCTCCATAGTTATCTCTTCTTTGCTTTGAAGAACCTAGAGCACAGTCTGCTATGGCTGCACGGCTGTGAATTAGTATCATATTGTGAATCCTTCATGACACACTTTAATGGGAAGGATTATAAACAAGAGAATGAGAACACCAATTCCAATACAAAATGAAAAGTGAGCCTTGAGTTATGTAAGGCTTCTAATTGTTCTATAACACTAGCAAATTTATCCCAAATTTATCCCAGTCTGTGGCTGGCTGTTGTGACACTGACAACACAGTTTTTGAAGAGCATCTATATCTATAGTAATATGTTGATGGATTGCTCCTTGTATTATTTATCATTTCCCAAGGTTGTAGACTTTTGTTATATGGTAATGGGGTGATACTGATAGGGCAACAGAGAGTCCATTTTTTTTTTCTAACTCCATATCAACAGAAGCCACTTAAAATTTGCTCAAGATGTAGTTGACTTTTCATCCACTTTCTACCCCTTTGCCTGGTTAGTTATCAACTCACTTTAAGCAAAATTTGTTCAGAGTTTGTCTCTGGGTTTGTTCTGGATTTGTTCAGTTCTGGACTCTAAATTTTTTCTTCAGCTTGGTAGTTAGAGGTGACACATGATTCCCAGATTGTGTTTGGTTTGTCTGTCTTTTTGTCTGCTCTGTATTTTTCTCCCAAAATGTGTCTGTGATTTCAGGTCACTGCAACCTCAGACTCTTCTTTGGGTTAATGACTGAGTTGGGGAGGAAAGAGCTGCAGAGGTAAAGTGTTCTCTCTTTGTTCTAAATTGAGCTATTTTGCGCTCAACAGACAGTAAGCCCACCATTCTGGTTTATACATGATCAAGAATTTTGACAAACTTAAGAGTGATGCGTGTTTGTGAATTCCTTGATCGAGTTCTGATAATTAATAAATGGTCACCTAAGCAGAAACTCCTTTTACTCTTGGTATCTGAGAAAGATGATCTTCCCTTTTGTCTCCCAACTCAGCCACCCCCTGTCCTGTACACCCACTTGCTTTCCTCGGTGGGAGATTCATCCTCAGCTGCAGCACTGAAACTGTGCCTTTCTATTCTCACCACTGAAGGCAGCCTTTCCCCAGCCTAGAACAGATTTGGAAGACGAAGTCTCCTCCTCAGATCTTCTCCCCGTTTTTCCTTCCTGGCAGTGAAAGATCTACATATGTGAGGTATACTAATTCTAATTTAGAGCTTTCATTTTAAAATCAGGAATAAGACAAGGGTTTCCACTATTACCACTCCTTTTCAACATCATTCTGGAAACATTAGCCAGAGCAATTACACAAGAGAGAGAAATAAATGAATAAGGACAGGAACAGAAGTGAAATTATCTTTATTCACAGATGACACCATACTCCACATAGAACACCCCAAAAACTCCACCAAAAGACTCCGAGAGTTAAAAACCACATTCAGTTGCATGGCTGGATATAAAGTCAATATTTTAAAATCAATAGCATTCTGGTACACAAAGAACAAACTTACTGAGAGGTAACTTAGAGAAACCATATCCTTCACCATAGCATCAGAAAAATGAAATACTTAGGGATCAATCTAACAGAAGAAGTAAAATGTTTACATATTGAAAATTTCAGTACTCTAAAAAAGGAGATTAAAGAGGATATCAAAAACAGAATTATAAAAAAGAAGAAAATGGAAATAAGGCCTTAACTTATGAATAGGATAAACCAACACAGTGAATATAGCCATAGTTCCAAAATTGTTATACAGATTTAATGCAATCCCCATCAAAATACCATTAGCATATCTCAAAAAACTAGAGAAAGCACTTCTTAAATTAATCTGGAACCATCAGAGACCTAGAATAGCAAAGGTAATCCTGGGCAACAGAGACAAGTCAGTTAGGTAATAATTCTAACACTTCTGTAACTTCCACTAACTCTAGTTGGGGAAGTAATGATGCTGAACAAGGTCTTTGCCCATAATGTGAAAAGTGTAATCATTCAGCTTGATATTCTCAGTCTACATATCACAGAGATGGAAATCCCCCAGTGGGAAATGGTAAGGGGGATCAACCCTCAGTGCTAACCCACTAGGGATGACCCCAATGGGGAATCAAGCTTTCAATCAGAGTTCCAATCAAAACCTCAGTCACATTGATCCAGTACAGATATAACAAAAAGTCCTAGATTCTCTGAGGAAATTCCCTTCCTCACTGAAGTAACTTTGGGGAGCACAGGATTAGATCTACCAGCCACTCAAAATGTAAATCTCATTGGGGACAACAAGCCGCTTGTCATTACTGCAGGGATTTGGGGACTTCCTCTTAAAAACACTCTGGGACTAATTAAGGGGAAAGCCTCTTTAAAAGATCCTGCTTTGTACCTAGTATTATTGATAAAGATTATGAAAATGAGATTCAAGTCTTTGTAGAGACAGTGAATCTTTGGTAATTGAGCCTGGAGAACACCTTATTCAATGGATATTATTACCCATGTCCTCATCTGGTGATGCTTGTTTTAGATAGGGCCTTCAATTGGGATGAAGCAGAGGATAAACTTCAGAAAGAGAAATATATTTTGCACAAAATCTGGTGAAGGCGTGACCCATGTGCTCCATTAGAATTGATGGAAAACCTTTCAAGGCCTTCAGATACATGTACTGATGTTTCTATAATCTTGTCTCATCAGTGGTCTGCTTCATGGCCTGCTAAGCCAGCTTCTGCACCATTGGTAAGACTCAGGTCACCCTAGCAAGTTTTATGATGTGAGTCCCTCATTTTTATCTCAAAGAGAATAAAAATAATACCAAACATTAGAAACAATAGAGAATTTCAAAGAATAAGATGATAGGAATTCAATAATGGTTGTTACATTGCATATTGTTGTTTTCAAAGTAGTTGTTCAGATTATGAGTATGGTCTCTAATTGCATCCATTTACCTATGGAAGCCTCAAGTTCACCTTTCTTTATAGCTAATACTCTATTTTATAAAATACCACATCTTCTTTATCCATTCCTCACTTGATCGGCATTTGAGTGGTTTCCCAGATTTACCTTTTACAGATTGCAGTGCTATAAACATGGGTGCACATCTATTGCTGTGGTATGATGTTTACTTTATAGTATATTTAAATAGAGGTATTATCCAAATATTCTATCATTTAGACAATGAACAATAAGGCTGTTGGTATTATTCTTGTCTGACTACAGAAGAATATCATTTGATTCATTGTCCACAAAATAGAAATATTTTGATATATACAGTGATTTCATAAGTTAAGCAAGTGAAATAGAATTTATTTCATCTTTAATATAGGAAACAGATACTGTAGTGTCCCCATCACTTTTAAATCACAAATAGCTAACAAACAGCAGGTGCCAACTCCCATGCAAACAATGCAGAAAGGCTTTTTGTCGTCTGCAGGGAAAGCACTCCATCCTCCTCACCTGAGCACCTCGTGTGTGCAGCCTTTGAGGAAATAGGCACAGTCCACGTGCAGCTCCTGGAAGCAGTTCAGCTTCCAGAGATAAAGAATGACCCCATCAGCATACTCCACAGTGCTACTTGAGGGATATAGTACCCATTAGCGAATGAAAAGACACCAAGTATTGGACGATTTCTCACCTGGCCCAGGAGCAAATCATGCCAGGTTTTTCACATCCTAAAAGTGGCACACCTCCACTTCCTGAACACAGTTCAGCACCAGCATCTTGAGGATATCCAGGAGGGTATCAAACAGCATCTTGTAAATCTCCATCTTCTTACAGCACAGGTGGACCAAATGTCTTTTCTGCTGGACCCACTCAAGGAAACAGGTTTGGAATCCATTTAGAGTCCTGCTCATGCTGAGAAGGTTTGCCATCACCTTGGAGACTACTGCTTCCTGGTCGCTAGATGATCATCCACTCTCTGGTCCCTACACTTGTTTTCTGGTGCCATTTTGTTTGTTTCAGAAATGACACAACAAACTGCTATGAATATTTTCAGCAATTCCATTTATACAGTGTTTCTCACCCAAAGGCTCGAAGTGCTACCTTGCTGGCCACAATAGAATACCTTTCTTTAACATACTTTTAAAATTATAGTATATCATTCACAGCTGTACAGCCCCCTTCTTCAAAGAACAGGTCAGATCTCATTCTAATTTACCTAGACGTTCAGCTTATGCTAATCTATAGGCTGATTCATTACTCACTTTTGTTTCCTCTTTTGATCTGGCTAGACAATCACATGGGTATCACTACCAAAATAATAAAACTTTAAGAAAAGATTTTCAATTGTCATGTTCACAGGTATTATGGTTTGTGTCTGGGTGTCCCCCCCCAAAGCCTCATGCATCGTGCGGCAGGCTTTTAGAGTTTGACTGATTATAGGTGTGAGAGCTACACCCGCCCTGGGGTGGATAGTTTGCATATGTAAGGGAGAGGAAGCGGCTGCTTGCCAGAATTCCTCCCTTTAGTGCTTGTTGCTTTTGTTGTGTTGTGCTGCCTTCAGTAGTTGCCCTCTGCCATGTGTTACCCTGCCTTGTAGCCAGCCAAGCATGGACTGCAACCTCCACAAACTCTAAGCTAAATAAACCTTTCCTTCCTAAATTTTGGGAGTTGGATATTTTATACCAGCAATGAGCAAAAAGCAACTGAGACAACAGGCTGGAAATATTCTCTCTTGCTCTACCTGTCAAAAAAATCATTCAGCATCCTGCAAAGGTTCCAAGAAGTTCATATGAAATAGAATTTGGTTGTTGAATGTTACTCACATCCCCTCTTTTCAGTGCTTGCAATATATTCATGTTTCAATTGATACCAATTCCCACTTAATTCATGCTACTGTCATTCTGGAGAAAAAAAATAGGATATGTTCAACCACATTGTTTGTCTGCTTTTTCTCCTATGGGAGTGCCAAAAACTACACAAATAGATAAAGGTCCTTTCACTAGACAAGCATTATCTTCTTTTTCAGTTTTGGTTTATGAAGCATCTTTTAGATATTCCATATAATTCACAAGGACAAATTATAGAAGAAAAGGCCCATTTAACATTCAAAAACTCAATTAAATAAACAAAAGGGGGAAATGCAACCTCCTCCACAGGCTCAACTGGACCGTGCCATCTTCACCTTAAATTTTAAAAATCGATGAACAGAAAGTAAGTGCACTGTGGCCGAATAACATTGGCAGTCTGAGCCTAACTCTAAACTGTCACGTGCTCAGGTCTTGTAGCAAGATAACACAGACAGGTATATGTGAAGGTCCATCACCATTAATAACCTGAGATGAGGGCATGCTTGTATTTTAATAAAAGATGGATCACCAGCATGTCTACAATCCAAGAATGTGTGACCATGGAAGATGGAAGTTTCTATGGTGGCACTGTTTGACTGTCCTGCCAGCCAGACCACTGACAATGACTTTTGCCTAATGAATCTCAATGATCAGCCAGCAACGAATCCAACCCCCAGTGACAGAGGCCAAAGCAATTATGAACTAGAGCCTGGAGAAGTCAATCCACAAGGCCAAGGCACTGGTAGACTGGCAGGATCTAGCAGAGATTCCCGACACCATGTTTGTTGTTATCACAGCATGAGCAATATGTATACCCTGAGTGCCAGGGATAGAATATCGAACTTACATTCTCACTGTCCGTTCCTTAGACCAGTTTCCTCAGTGGACCTTCCACCTGAAATTTATCATGAAATGGACACACCCTATTTACCAATTATTTTGATACCAGGCCCTCCCTACAGACATGAAAGTTAAGGCAACTGTTAATAATATTTCTCACGTTAGTTACTCACCTCTCTTGTAGAGGATGTTTCCATACAGTCTAATTATTGTTATGCTGCCTCTTCTCAAACCTTGTTGATATATAACCATGAAAACTTTATTATGTTAACCCTGGGGTCGGCATCCTATATAATTATTGGGGAAAATAATTTCAAAACTAAATTGTGATTAGGATTTTTTTGAGACCTAGTGTCTTACCATGCAGGGTGGCCACTATCCTCAGAGATAATTAAAATTACCTTTAATAATCTGTCCCATGAGTTGGAACAGTTCCATGTGGCTAACAAAACCACCATGAGAAGCCTGTACAGCTTGATATTCCAATTCGATAAACTGTCAGCGTAGGGCCCATCTTAGTAACTGCCTTTGCTTTCTTTCATAGGTATGAAATGCTTTATTCCACCTGATTCTTATAACAGGCGAGCTCTGTTAATTGACTTACAAAAAGGTTCAGACTAGGCTAGTTACAAACTTACAAACTGCAAAAGTTCTTATAATTCACATTGGCCAAATATATTTGAGTGCATTCTTATTTTATAAACAAAATGTCTCATGTGTATTTGTTTGTCTGTCCATCTTTAAAAAGTTATTTTGAGCTCAAAATTTTTTCTGTTTTGTAATTTTGTATTTTTGAAATACTTTTGTAATTTAATTTTGTTTTAGATAAGTGTCATCAAAATTAAAAACATGCTTCCACCTAAGTTGTCAGCTGGGCAGAATGATGTTAAAATTAGTTTTATGTATGTAATACACATTGTTGTCTGTGTACAATAACTGGAGAATCTTTCACGTGTCAAGTAATGGGTTAAGTGTTAGGATCTTGTTGTCATGGGTCGTCAGAAATTTGTTAAGGCAATTAAATGGGGACCCTTGAGGCTTGGGGAAGTATTGGACAAGACTCCCTTTGGTGAATAAATGAGTAGCTGCCTGAGTAAAAAATCATACTCCACCCTTTGTTAATCAGTAGGAGAGCTCAGTTACCTCCATAGTCTTATGGGAGGCACCCCTAACAAATTGTTCAACATCAAAAGTTTAATTTTTCTAGAAAAAAATACGATAAGGTTTTCTCACAAAAGATGTTCTTGGTACAAACCTAAATTAAGATACAAAAGTTTTCACAAGTGTATGACAATTTATTATTGTTAATATCATGTTGTATTAAATGTATTCATGCCTTCCAGATGTAGTCTTCTAAAATTTAGAACAGATTCTTTATGGTGACCAACTTTTTTAATTGTGTGTAGATATCTACCTTTTCTCATGCTCCAGGTATCAGTGATAGAAGTCTACATCAAACCAACATGAGGCCACAACTCAAATGATAATTTTTTAACAAAAATATATGTGTTATGCTTGCTATAGATGTGCCACTCTACTGAGAGATGCTTAGATATTAAGCAGTCCAGACAATTTCAATAATGTATTCAATGACATAATACTAAAGGACAACAATTTAGATAAAAACTTCTTATGTACTAGATACAGTTAATCCACTGAAAAGTCTACTCTGTGCCAAGATGGAGATTAAGCATGCTACAAAAATGTCATCATCACTGTTATGCTAAAATACTATGTATAGCTTTTGGTCTCAATTTTGCTCTGAAAAACTATATAACAGTGTCTGCCAATACTTTACAGGGATTCAATTACAACATCAAAGATTAATAGGAAATGACTGAATTTTGCTATCTTTTATATTTCAGAATGCTTAATATTCAAATAAATTGTAATAATTTTACTCACTGTTCCTATTACAATGCTAACATCACTGATCTTCCCTTCTGATTGTACAACAACTGAAGTTCAGAAACCAAATCTAGAAATGTAAGTAGGCTGAGAGGATAGCTAATGTTTTGGTCCTGGCCCTCCAAGATCAATGAGAACCAAGGACGTGAGGGAAACTTCCCTGCAGAATTATGCAACTCAAGTGAGTTACACAAGCTCCTGACCAAGGAGACTGTTGAGCTACAGGGCATGGAAATACAGCCAACACTGTGCCAAAGGAATGTTTCTAGAAGGAAAGTCTCCCATGCTTCCATTGAAAGCAATTGGTCAAGCAAAGGCCATGACTCATCCTTATGGCTGACACTGAGAGGGGACCTGAGAGGCTCTGTGAATGTTTCAAGGTAAATCCTGAGGAGATTTGACTGACTTTGATAGATAGTGAGAGGTTAATTTGAATTAACACGTGTCTCAGTTTAACTTGGTCTTAAACACCCAGCAGAAAAGAATAACAAAAGATGTGCAAAAACAATGCCATCATAATAAGCTAGATGTTAAAAGAGGAAACTATAGTTGACCCCATCTAGCAATTTCCAGTTACACCTGTAGCTCACCACTATTATGAGTCATTAAGAAAAACTACAGAAAAATCTGTAAAAGCTCAATCAGATTGTTTAAATTCTTTAGCTAAAGATTGTCCTTCAAAACCACCAAACTCTCCATCCTACAGTGAAAACTGGAGTGAAACTTATGACAAAATAACAGATATTCAGATAACCTCTATCAGTAGAGAGATTTAAGAACCAGCAGGTTACAGTCCTATTCCACTCCCTAAAGAACAGTCTTTGCCATTTTCGCAAACTGCCTTTCCATTCTAGTGGTAATGCTTTGCTTATACATCCACTAATTTCTCAGAAAAATTATTTATTCCTGCCTAGAGACTGCCAAACTTCAAATGATCATGAAAATGGAGCAAAGCACAAAAGTGCTGGACTGCTTTTACTGGGACCAAGAAGATTAACCTTGTAAGGAGAATTTATAAGTGCTAAGCCACAAGATAGTGTCTGTCTGAGGCCCATCAGATTAGCTCTCAGGAGAAGATGCCTGACCATGGTCACTCCTACAATGATGCTTCTCATCTGAAAGCAGTTAAATGAGAATAATGCCCATTCTCCCCCAACTGCAGTTAGGGATATTTCTTCAGAGGGTGGAAAATTTACATGCCTTAAGTATTTGGAAATATTGTAGGCAGT